AACAACTTTTGGTACCAGAGACGCCCCTGGGACGTGTCTTTAAGCCAAACTTCCTCATCACGGAGCACACCTCCCCACCCCACACACCCCGCCCTTGACTCCTGTAGGCTCTCTGCAGTGACAAAGCAAAGTGAAAGTGAAACTTAAAACTGTCTGCTGCTCTTAACACTACTGCTCACTCAGAGAAGCTCTTTTCAGATTCAAAATACCTTTGAGGAAATATATTTTCAGATGCCAAGTAAACTGCATCATAGTGCACTCAAACCCCCCCTTTACTGAAATGTACGGGACAGAAGCAGAAGGTGGTTCTTAAAGAAACAGAGGCTAATTTCAAGGTGTTTAGAAGAGGAAGTGATGAGAAGATATGTTTATTTTCTATTTAAACATAAAAACAGCATTTTAATAACAGCTAAAGGCAACATATATACTTTATTACGGTATAATATTTAAATGTATGCCTGAGCAACACATAATATTGCCCCTTTAAGATAGTCAAAATGGCAAAATCGGGACAAAAATCAGCCTAATTAATTTATCATGTGAACCCAGCATTAGTCATAATGATTTTGATTGGCTGTGTTGTAATAAACTGTAGCATGCTTAATATGGTGAATTGGATGAGAATTGTTTTCCTTTCAGGCCGAAAAAAGAAGAAAACATTTTGAACCCGGAAGGAAAGACTGGTGTGTTTTAGTCCGTTTTTTTCTCACTCTTTTCTGCCATATGTTTCTGTTCAGTTTAACTCAGCAGTGAGCTCAGTCTCTCATCCCTGCCCACACTGAGCTCACTGTGTGGTTCCTATTGAACCAGGCTTTCAATGCTAACCATGTGCATGGCGGGTCGACAAGCAGCCAGGCACCGTGCTCCTTCATTTTCTCACACACAAATACACACTTTCAAGCAGAGGAGGAAGTGGTTTTCTCCAAAGTTCACTGGATGTTTAAATAATATTCTCCCCTGCAGAGGTCAGAATGGGAACGATGGAACTCTATAGAGGGCGTGTTTACAGATGCAGTGTAACGTTTGAGTAAGTTTTGTTTACTTATCAGGTTATCGAAGAGCTTTTTTTTTTGTTGTTGTTGTCTATCGGGATGTGTAAACTTACACAGAAAAATTGGACAAAATGAGCCAAAAGCATGCAGCCAGAGCTCGTAACATTCCTAAAACACTGGCCCAGAAGTGAGGAAACATCAGCTCAGTGCTATATAAGGTGGTCACAGCTATGCGCTACAATCTATATGTTCAAAATGATGGCTTGGCCAAGAATTATGTGGGATTTATGGAGCTCGGCTCACAGAGAAGCATGCAGTCAGAGCTGCTGTCATTTAGATTGCGGTGAAGCATGAATTATGTAGAAGCAGTGTCCATACTTTTGTTGTCCACAAAGGAGTATTGGCTTACATATGCAAGCTATGAATGGAGCTTATACTGCACTACTTTATGAAGAAAGTCAGTTTGTACAGTTTCCTTTGGTAACGTGGTGTTTTTAAAGTCTAGCTTGATGCTGTTTTGTTATTGGGTTTTTGTTCTTTGACTTCTTAGACTTCTGCTTTTTTGCTTCTGTTTTGTGGTATGTTTCCACACCTTCACCTCTTGTTAGGGATGCACTGATACTTGAACTAGTATCAAGTATCAGTCTGATACTGTGTATGTGTACTAGGGCTGCCACAAATGATTATTTTTATAATCGATTAATCACCGATTATTTTTTCGATTAGTCCATTAATCGGATCATATGTTAATTGAATATAAAACACACAGCTTATCACGCCAGAATGCAGCTGCTATTATATAACCATCGTTAGATTTTAGCTATATGCTAACTAAAAATAATAGCTGTGGAAGGCAAGTTCTGCCTTGCAGATATTGCATTGGACAGGTTTCTCTCTCATTTTCTTAAAATGATCCCACACTTTTGAGCTCCGTTGCCGAGTAGCCATGATACTAGAGCCTGTTTGTATAATGTCTTGTGACGTCCACGGCCTACCCCAGTTACCAACCACTACTGTGAATGTGTGTCAAGGACAGAAAGGCAGATGTGGCAGTGGAAGGTGTCAAAGCAGTTTGGAAAGAAAAACAAAGTAAAGAACAACAACAAAAAAAGGAAAATGATTAATCGATTATATATATATATACTGTATATATATATATTGTTATAGCTGTGAGGCAGGGTGAACCCAAATGCAGGCAGGCAGGCAGGCTAAAGAGTATTAACAAAAATTTATTAAATAAAAAGCCAATGTGGTGGCAAAAAAACAGAGAACTAAACAAAAATCAGGGACAAGAAAGCTAGGGTAGAACATGAATCTAACAAGAGCAGGAGACATACAAACAAACCAACAATGATCAGACAAAGACACAGTGACAAGAC